AATGAAATTTAATACTGTCTACTGTATTCTAAAATTATCTTTTGTAGTAATTATATCATTATGTTTTTTTTTGTTTTCCTCCATCTTGTGGTTATAAATTAACTGTCTTTCCTTATATATAAAACTCACCACCAGATTTTTCAAATCTTTATTATCTAGCTGAAGGAGGTGGAATTTTATGGGATAATCCAGTGTTTCTTTGTATTTTATTTTGGTTTGTTTAAATAGTCTATTTGATGCTAGTAAATGATGGACTTTACTAATTTTAATTAACCGAATATAATTATGGTTAAGGTTATACATAATTGTTTTTCTATATATTTGATTATGAGATTTTGTTTCCAGCATAACAATAATTATTATTATTGCTCTTGAAATTTGATTGATCTGTCCATGAAAAAATAATTTTAAGTTCATTATAAACTTAATCACTTGTAATTCTCTTTTAAAAATTGAATTAAGTCATCTATTTAAGTAGATTCTTCATTTTATTATTTTATTCTGTTGAAGTAAAAAAATCCAATTTATCGATTTATAAATGTCCTTGTTAAGAATGGTCCTTCATTCCTAATTTTTAGATGATGGAATTGCTCATTTTTTATCCTGTAAGAATATCACTTATTATGATTCCAAAACTCCAAACATCTGATGTGTTCGATAATGTATTTTTTAAAGTTTTTTCTGGAGGTGAATACACACATAAAGGTTTACTGCTATAGAGTTAATCGTCTAATTCTCCTTTTACTTCGCTTAAGCCATAATCTGTTACATAAATGTTTAATTAATTATCTACTTCTTAATAAATACCTTACCTAATAAAATATTTGAAGGTTTCAGATTTCCATGAGTAAAATGTTCATTATATGCTTTAAGAAACAGAGATATATTTAAAATTACTTATTCTTTCTATTTTTTTAATTGTATTTATGGAATAGCCAAAGCTCTTTCTAAATCACAGTTCATTAATTATGTTATAAGATATAGTGTTCCTAAAAAAGGACCGTTTTCTGATTCTTATAAACAATATCCTTCATAGATACATAAACCATGAATCTTTAATTTTTAAATGTGATTTATATTATTGAGTAATTAAAAGATATAAGAGGCTGGTTTATTTCGATATATTTTAACAACTTTTTCTTAATTTTGAAAAGTGCACCTAAAAATATTTTATTGTTCATCGATATTGTATTCGCTATTTAAAAACTAATTATTACTCATTTATTATCAAATCACTCTCATTTATTTATTTAATCAATGGAAATCTATTGAGTATCTCCAGTAGTTACGCAAATGCCATTTAATTATAAAAATTTTATTCTATTTCATCTGAACTCTCTAGATGATTACTTGGCTCATCTTATTTCCAAGTAAAGTCTTACTGTGATTATACTTATTATTGCCGTTCTTACCATTGTTTTATTTAGTTCCTCAGATTTTCGGGTAATTTGATACCACTTTAAACAAATTAAATTGTTTGGCAATTATCACTATAAACTAAACTATCTTAAAACTTTTAAGCTTGCTGACCTTAAACTTGTTTATTTGTTTCTCCAAATTATTCTTACGAACAGAAGTTTTCATTAATTGGTTATGAAATAGTAAATTGCCTAGTCCAATTAAAGGTATTATCTTGCTGCTAAATATTATCTTAACCTATTTAATTATCCACTTTATTTTCAATTTTCTTTTTAATCTCTAACAAATAATCATAAACTTCTTTGCAATTAGGTCTTTTATTTTTTGAAGACTAAACCATCTAATTTACTAAATCTGAAAGATTTGGGCTTACTAAACTTAATTGTTCTAACATGAAAGCAATTTGTTCTTCTGTTTTTCTGTGATTTGAAAATCTATATTGATTATTTAATTTTTACTATTAACAATTAAATTCCAAGATTATCAATCCAAAAGAATAAATAACTGACTTAAAATAATTCTGAAGAGTGGATATTTAACCTGATATTGATGCCGCAAATGTATCAGGATCCATGTAGTTAATATCGCTTTTGATTTCTCTCTAAATGCTACTGTCCATTCCAATTACACTAATCGCATGGTTAACATCAAATAATTTAAATTTCCCATCCTTCATTCTCATTATTTGATCAGGTGTTATGTATGGTAATGCAATTTCTTCTTCTTGTAAATCAGCTAAAATTGTTACAACATCAAGCAATAGTTACTAGATGAGGGTTTCATTTATTTTTTCTACTTATGCTACTTAGTAAAGACTTAATGAGATCTCTTCTAAGAGATATCCTTATCGGCAAACTTTTATCCCAAATTAATCTAAAAAGTCCATGTTTTTATGTCCTTTTATTTTCACTATTCCATCAGTCCTCCCTTAACAATGTATGTGAATTTTCATAAGATTATCTTCGCTAACCCCATCTATTATTAAGAATGTAAATATCTAATAATTTAAAACAACATTTTTACCTTTGATGAATTTTTTTTCTCTCTCAATTTAAAAAATGTGCGATTATTATGCTTTATATAAGGCTCTTAAGATATAAATTCAAACCTTGTTAAATCAAAATCCATAACTTAATTTTGCTCTAATATAATAAATATAAATTTTTATAAATGAATTATAAAAGTTAGTGAGTGAAATATAAGGTATAGATTTAATTTCTAAAACAAAGAATGTTTTTGTCTTTTTCTATATTATGAAGGAGTTTCCTTCATTGGTAAAAATAATATTTTGGAATTTATAATAATATTGATTGGAAACAATATTTAGATCATCCTTAGTGAATAGAGGCATTTTATGTCAGAAAACAGCAACAAAATACATTGAAAATATTATTTTATTCAGAAATAATATTTAAGGTCATTTTTAATTTAGTTTATTAAGCTTTCGTCTAATGATAACTCATTTTCGTATTATATATAATTTGACTTTTTTCTATATGATATTTATCTTATTAATTGAAGAAAAAACCATCAAATTAACAACATCAAAAATTTCACTTTAAATAGTCTTGAAAAATTCAATTTCTGATTAAATTAATTATATCAAAAAGTGCTTTCTTTATAATTGAAAATTTTCTTGAGAATTTTATAATCCAAATTTTCTTGTATTCAAAGGAATATATTTAACAAATAAAAATCATAAAACAAATCTACTATTGTATGAACAATAATAAGAATTATCCTTTTTCATATTGTTAATTTAATATTTTAAAAATTTTCTCATTTAGTAAAATATTAAATAATAAGTTGACGAAGATTGTATTTTTGGTTCTAATTTCATATCTATATTAAAATTTTTGAATGAAAGATTGATTTTTAATATCTAATAACAAAAGGCGATAATACTATGAATAAATAAGTCTAATGATAAAAGAAGAGTTGAATGTCAATCTAAACTTTAATGATAAAGACAATTTTAAAAGTAAGAAATTTCAGATTTGAGTTGATTTGATGATGAATATTGAATTTTTTTCTTATTTTTTTAACTTATCAAAAAGGGATAATAGCATCATCCCAAATTTAGCATGCGTTAATTCCTTTTTCCAAGTATATATATCCTTTCAATCCCCATTTGGTTGACCAAGAGTTCTTGATTATGACAGCTTCATTTGTGTAACCAACAGCTAAGACTGAATGATTCACTTTATCCTATACATTCAGAATATGGGAATATGTAATCCTCTTCTGTAGGTTAATAATACTTCCAATTAGATGCTTAAACAGCTACCTAAAGTGGGCCTTTTTCCATAGCACTCAAAAATGCTTCTTCATTTTAGGCTATTTTAGAAAATCCACTCATTTTATAGGGACCTCCCTTTTTAGAGCAACCCTAATCATAACCAGTCTAAGATTAGATTAAAGTAATACATATGGATATTCATCATTTGTTGTTACACCATTTTTTATAACATAATTTAGGGCTTAATTATATAGTCCACCATTGCATCCTCCAGGAAAGCGATCTCTTTAGCAATCAACTATTTATTATGCAGAAAGTCTTGGCAATTCTCCAGTTGTTATCTTGAAGAATCCTTCCACACTTCCTAAAGAACTAAATACATCGCTGGAACCACACTAGCCTTAGTCCTAAACCTCGTTAACTGCACCTCTTGATCTCCAGTCGATTGGATTGCCATTTAATTTGATAGATTCTTTTAAAAACAGAATTTCAGAAGTTTATGCAATCTTCAGATTCAAATAAGTTTCAATGAACTCTTCATCAGTAAGATCTGCGAATTGTGTTAATCCAAAAATCTTTCTTTCGATTATTTAATTTTTAGCTTTTATTACATTAAGGTTAGCCTTGTAAACTTCTAATCTATAGAGGAATTCAGTTCCTGAATATTTCTTGTTGAATTTGATCAAAAAATCAATGAATTCTGTTTACAACTATTCTTCTAATTGTTAATCAGTTTTATGGAGAATAAAAATTGTAGTGAACATTAATTATTGTTAATTATAATGTTATCAAGCCAAGAAGCAGAAGTATCTTATTCATGAAATAAAATATTAATTTTTGAAATATGAATATAATTTTTATTATTTTTTATCGACCTCACCTTTTTTGAAGTCAAACAGATGCAAATATATATGTCGTTTTATAGAATCAATGAATTCCAATTAATTAATAGAGGGCAATGTATTTAAAGNATATTTAACAAATAAAAATCATAAAACAAATCTACTATTGTATGAACAATAATAAGAATTATCCTTTTTCATATTGTTAATTTAATATTTTAAAAATTTTCTCATTTAGTAAAATATTAAATAATAAGTTGACGAAGATTGTATTTTTGGTTCTAATTTCATATCTATATTAAAATTTTTGAATGAAAGATTGATTTTTAATATCTAATAACAAAAGGCGATAATACTATGAATAAATAAGTCTAATGATAAAAGAAGAGTTGAATGTCAATCTAAACTTTAATGATAAAGACAATTTTAAAAGTAAGAAATTTCAGATTTGAGTTGATTTGATGATGAATATTGAATTTTTTTCTTATTTTTTTAACTTATCAAAAAGGGATAATAGCATCATCCCAAATTTAGCATGCGTTAATTCCTTTTTCCAAGTATATATATCCTTTCAATCCCCATTTGGTTGACCAAGAGTTCTTGATTATGACAGCTTCATTTGTGTAACCAACAGCTAAGACTGAATGATTCACTTTATCCTATACATTCAGAATATGGGAATATGTAATCCTCTTCTGTAGGTTAATAATACTTCCAATTAGATGCTTAAACAGCTACCTAAAGTGGGCCTTTTTCCATAGCACTCAAAAATGCTTCTTCATTTTAGGCTATTTTAGAAAATCCACTCATTTTATAGGGACCTCCCTTTTTAGAGCAACCCTAATCATAACCAGTCTAAGATTAGATTAAAGTAATACATATGGATATTCATCATTTGTTGTTACACCATTTTTTATAACATAATTTAGGGCTTAATTATATAGTCCACCATTGCATCCTCCAGGAAAGCGATCTCTTTAGCAATCAACTATTTATTATGCAGAAAGTCTTGGCAATTCTCCAGTTGTTATCTTGAAGAATCCTTCCACACTTCCTAAAGAACTAAATACATCGCTGGAACCACACTAGCCTTAGTCCTAAACCTCGTTAACTGCACCTCTTGATCTCCAGTCGATTGGATTGCCATTTAATTTGATAGATTCTTTTAAAAACAGAATTTCAGAAGTTTATGCAATCTTCAGATTCAAATAAGTTTCAATGAACTCTTCATCAGTAAGATCTGCGAATTGTGTTAATCCAAAAATCTTTCTTTCGATTATTTAATTTTTAGCTTTTATTACATTAAGGTTAGCCTTGTAAACTTCTAATCTATAGAGGAATTCAGTTCCTGAATATTTCTTGTTGAATTTGATCAAAAAATCAATGAATTCTGTTTACAACTATTCTTCTAATTGTTAATCAGTTTTATGGAGAATAAAAATTGTAGTGAACATTAATTATTGTTAATTATAATGTTATCAAGCCAAGAAGCAGAAGTATCTTATTCATGAAATAAAATATTAATTTTTGAAATATGAATATAATTTTTATTATTTTTTATCGACCTCACCTTTTTTGAAGTCAAACAGATGCAAATATATATGTCGTTTTATAGAATCAATGAATTCCAATTAATTAATAGAGGGCAATGTATTTAAAGTGATCATTATCAGATAACTTCAATTTATATTTAATTAATTTAAAATTGATCAGCAATTGATTATTTAAAAATAAGCATCTCTTGAAAAAAAATTAAACAACACTAAAATATGATTTTAGATTTAGTTTATTAATTAAAAATGGCAAGTTACTAAAATCTAATTATTTATTAAAGACTGATAAATTACAGCTCAAAACTCTCCAAACAATTTCCTTTAAAATTCATAAATTATAAATATGAACTAAAGATAACTTAATTTAATTGTAAATAGCATTTTTAAATATATAAATTGAAATATAAATTGGTTTTATTAGTTTTTATTAAATGAAAATTGATATTCTGAATAGATTTCTATCTTATATACATTAATTGAAGTACGATTCTTTTGTTTTGGTAATCAATTGATCTTATATCAATAAAATAATCAGTATTGTTATCAACAAAATAATTCCTTTAAATTAAAACTTAACAGTAAAGCAGCCTAAAGGCTCTTGAATTTCATAAATAAAAAGTTATCAAAGAAATATTGCTTAAATAATTTATATATGATGAATATAATAAAAAAATTAAATAATCGGTTCCATTAATAAACTAATATAATTTAAAGTACATAGAGAAATTTCCATGCTCATTGAGCACTTTGATACTTTTTAGTTGATATGTATTTTTAATCTCAAAATATCTGACCTTAATCAAAAATAACTCTGTAGAAATTATTATTCTATCAAGAATTTAATCAATACCAATATTTTCAGCCATTAGTTTTCTTTAAATTTTGTAAAACTAAAGGGGATAGTTAGAGATGTCTAAATATTTTTAATTTAATTCTTGTAATTTCTAATAAAATAGATGGATGAAATTTATAAATAATATATATTTTAGCTAAAATAATTATTCCAGGCCCTCGATTCTACCACCCTCTCTAGTAGGTCTTTTATATTAAAATAAAGCAGTTGCTCTATAACTGTTAGCAGAGTGCTTAGTGAGAGTTGATTTTAGGTTATAGTAGTTTTGTGTTTGGATGGGCTTGTGGATTCTAAGATTGAAAGTTCGCAATAATGATCCTATCTTAGATAATAAAGATACGAGGGATCATAATAAAACGATCCAGATTTTTTGTTTTGGTAAGGAAGAAGTAATTATTTTTATTACAATTTACCTCTTAAGTTGAAAAATTTATGAAAAATGTTATTATGGAGAGTTTATACAGCCTTTTCAATAGCCTAAGAATTTTTTCTTCTAAAATAAAACAATAATTTGTCATAATATACGACTGAAAATTTTAATGGCCAATTAGCTGAGATGAAATGAACTAGGGTTGTTCTCTATAGAGATGTCAAGAGAAATCGATGGGATCTTTAAAGAATTATTATAGGGAAAGAATTTGTTTAGATCTTTTTAAAACTAATAATTATTCTTCTTTAAAATGTGTATGTATAAACTGTGAGTTCATATAAGAAATAATACTCAAGTAATTTGGCAGTTCTAGATCAAAAAGAAATAGGAAAAAAATTTGAGAAATGCAGTTAGCTAAAATATAATTTTATCTAACTGCATTTGCTCTTCAATCTGACAAATCTATATTTAAGCATAAATAATACAATTTTACTCAACAATGAAAAAATTAAGAATGACACAAGATTCACTAGTAAGAAAATTACATAAACTGCAATTTTTAAACTTTGGAATGACATCTTATAGTCATTTAATAAAAAAATAGGATATCTAGCGTTTAGTTACTTTAAATCAATAATTTTGTATATATATACAAGAAACCAGCCTTACCCAATTCCATTTTATTTGCTTAATGAATTATTCCAAAACAACCAAATAATAAAATAATTAAATGAAGTACCAAATATAATTTTCGTGGTGATTTTTAAGTTCGTGATATAAATTCTGAACGACGGATTGTTCATTTAATATGATGGATTAATCATGGTTTAATAGGATTTAAGGATTTCTTTTCATTATATTGAATATGATTCTCTATTAAAACTCTGAGAAAATTCGAAAAATACCTAATATGACCAGCAAGATTTCTTTATTCCTAAAATTAATGTTATGATCGATCATTAGTGATTAAGCTCTAAGTATTCTCATCCCATTATAAGATATATCAATCTATATTTTCTTCTCTCCTATGTTGTTTAGTGATTTTAAATATCCTCTAGAGAAGATATTGAAAACAGGATAATAAAAAGCCAAATTAGATGGTCATACTCATTATGTTATGTCAGTCTGTTTCTCTCCTGATGGAAATACATTAGCTTCTGGTAGTAATGATAAGTCTATCCGTCTATGGGATGTCAAAACAGGATAATAAAAAGCCAAATTAGATGGTCATGATAGGTAAGTTATGTCAGTCTGTTTCTCTCCTGATGGAAATACATTAGCTTCTGGTAGT